CCAAACCAATTCTTTTCTTTATATTACATTCAGCAACTTTGGCAAAAAGCGAATTACTGAAGATAATCTTTTTTGTAAATACCGAGTACTCCTCCAATTGTTTAATACAATACCGGTCATGTGGGCGCATGACTCAATCTATGGTCCCCTAAAAGTGGCAGAATAAAAAGCTTTGTTCGTGTTGTGTAATGTCGTGATACGAATGTTGTCAACATTGGTGACAGAACAGGATGCCTCGATTGCATTGTAGGAATCGTTGAAATTGCTGCCTTACAATTGGTCACCAGTGACATCACTAGAAGGAATGCTTAATTTTTAACCTTCAGTCAACCCATGTTTTCAAGTAACAGACAAAATTATACGGTTGCGTCTGTCTTCGCCATCGTGTAAGCGAAGTTGTCACAAGGTCGCGACGTGGGCGAAGGGATAAGTCTATAAGCAAGTGATGAAACGCTTTATTCTGCCGAACTTGTGGCCAAGAAACTGAACGTTAGACTACAGCAATATAAAGTGCACTGAGCGCCGATTCCATTGTGTACAGTTTATGAACTGACAAGTAAGTGGTGAAGCGCCTCGGCACTTAAACACGTCCGCTGGAATATTCTAACATTACCGCTACCGGCCACGCAGGTTCCATAGAAGCTTCAATGTTCGTGAAGCAGGGTATCTTAAAAAACAATCTAATACAAGCTTCTCGAACGTTGCAGGCATGGTTACCGGTCAGAATTACTAACAGTGTAAAGGGCCATAACAAAACTTAAGAAAGGAATATAGCAATATTCTTACAGGCGCTTGTTTCTTGTGTCCTTACATCAGTAATTGAATGTTCATTGTACAGTCATATAGGAGAGCTAGCTTGCCTAATATCTCATAGTGTTTGACTGCTACAGCACCATTTAACGAGAGTGTACCCACCCACGTTGACGATTAGTGACACATCTTCAATGTGACGACTAACGACCATCATGAATGATTCAACGAACCCTTGTGGTGAAAGATCTCGGTGGCAGCCATAGTAGTTCACAGTGAGATCTGAGTGAGAGAAAGCGGTGTGACAGGCAAAAGATCCTCACTGAATAGACGCCAAACTTAGGCTAAGATTGTTGTTATATTTAAGCTTACTGAATGCCATTGCATGACTAGACTGAAATGCAACGCAGCTGATGTCTTTACTGCTGGCGTGCCATGATTTTTATGGGGTTAGTGTAAGCGAGGAATGTGGAGTTACAGCCAGGCGAGACAAAGCCATTTTGAGTATGGATGGATGTTATAGGTGAAGCAGATGCTACTTGATATATTGTACACTATAGTTGCGGACACACTAAGATGCTTGAGCTAAGGTCGCCATCTAAGGCATCGACAAAACTGCACTCCTCTTATTATTAACGCACCGATGGGGAAATGCGCGAAGAAACCACGCGTTTAAGAGAGAGAGAGAGAGAGAGAGATATAAAGATGCAAGGAAAGGCAGGGAGGTTAACCAGACGCACATCCGGTTTGCTACCCTGCACTGGGTAAGGGATAAAGGGGAGAAAAGAGGTTGCAGAGAGTTGAGAAGGTACACACAATCATGAGCACACTCGCGGAGCACACACAGTCTACAGGCGGTCGCTCAGGTTTGTTGACAATAGGTAAATTGGCAGTGCTTTAGTTGCTTTCTGCGCAACTTAGGCAGATGCCCAAGGTCCTAGTATCTTCTGCACACAAAATGGTCCGGGGTCAAGTAGATTCAAAACCATCCGGAGCTGGCATCGCTGTGTGTCGTAGCAAGCGCTGCTGCACAGGACGTGTTCGATGGTCTCTTCAGCTCCGCAGTAGTCGCATGTAGGAGTGTCTGCCATACCAATGCGGAAGGAGTACATCTTTGTAAATGCAACACCCAACCAAAGGCGGCATAACAGTGTCGCATCAGAGCGGGAAAGTTGTGATGGTAGTTTTAGCTTGAGCGAAGGATCCAGTTCATAAAAATGACACCTTTGGAAGCTGGTAGACGACCAGAACGTGCGTGTGAGATCTCGAGCCAGCAAGTAAAGTTGTCTTGCTGCATCATTCCTTGATAGAGGAATCGGGACTACACGGGTTCATACATGGGCTGAGCGGGCTGCATCATCGGCTAATTGATTTCCGGTAATACCGATATGTCCAGGCAGTATCACGCGTTTAAGAAGTTAATGTGGATGTCATGGCGATGATGCTTTACTTCACTTTACAAAGAGAGAGTGTTAGATATAAAAGGCGCGTTTGTGATGGCACCAGATTATGTTGCCGTGGCACAGTGAATATCGTGCCTGGTATATGTGGTCGTGAACCGAAAGGTCATCGGCTCAACTCAGCTTGGTGAAAGCTTTTTTTTAATTTATGATCATGCCTATTTTACGTTTGAGTCTTGGTGGACTCCTTCGTGTAAGTAAGAGCTGTTATAATAGGTAGCCACGTGGTTCACTGAAATACTTATAAGAGACTCTGCGACTGTTTCAGTTTCTCGTGTTGAGGCTGCGCGCAGGACACAAGCAAGCGAGTTTCTTTTTGAGCAAACGTGATCACCAATAGTAGAGATGATAACTGAAAGTGGCGCTATTTACACTAACAGAAATTTTATTCACAAAAATTCTTCCTCCTCCCCGAAGTGAATAATGATGAGTGTGGCTAAAACTCGAATGCTTATCGGTGAAATCATGAAACTCTTGCTGGAGCCCGTTGGTATAGCGTTTGCATAGTACCGTCCGTTGCATCTGGAGGAGATGGTAGAGAGGTTGTTGTGAGACAGCAAGTGGTCGCATGCTTTACTCCTGTTGCGGAACGAGGGATCGATACGTCGGGACCCTCAACACCAGGTGGTGACTGCTATGAGCGCTTGAACGCCGCCTCCTGCGCCCACTTCTATTAGCGGTTCTCTTAACGCTGCTTCTGTGCCTACTCTGCTTCGCGGCTTCGCAATTCAGGATTCTCCTGTACACTAGCTCGCTTTGCTATGGCTGCGCAAGCCCTTGCCACTGCCGCCATGTCTTCATCGAAGCTTGTGCTGGCTTGCGATTTCGGCGACATGGGCGGCTTGCACGTGGGGCTCGTGAGCTCTCACCGCGCGGTCTTGGTGGCGTGTCTCTATTGCAACTACTTTTCGAGCTTTCCGTGTCACTGCCTTCACGTCCAATGTGCACGAAAGATGAGTAGTAGGGTGGAAACGTAAATGCATGGAACTGCCAGTGACGAGAAAGCTAGCGCGCAAAAGCACTCGTGCTACGTAGGCGCAGCCCACTGTCACTTGTCTCTCTAAGTAGAGCATGCACCCGCGTATGCAGCAAATCAGCGGAGACATAAAAGTACAAGTGTGTGCCACGCTGGATGGATGGATCTTGCTTGAACCTCTTATTTATGCACAAGACCGCATTGCCGAACGTCAAACCCGAGACCATAATATCTTTCTAAATCTGTCTCACAGCGCCATACCTATTGTAGTTCCACAGTTCCCTATTTTTATTGCAGCTGCATTCCTGTTACCCTTAATTATTACGTATCTTTCGTGCTCCCTTGCGTACTCAGCACCGCTATTTAAACCATACGCCTGAATATTTGTATTTATTCATTATTTTAGCGTGACTTTCTGTACCTCTTGCTTATTGCCTTTGTTATCAATAAAACTCTTGATTGCCTATTTTTCTCTACTGAGCTTCAAATTTAACCAATCTTCCTCATTACCACAGATGTCTATCAATCTCTGCAGATCTTCCTTGTTGTCGGCTAATAATACGATATCTTCTGCATACGTCAATGCTGGTAATGATGTTGAATGTGTTTTTCTTGCTTGGCAAGAGAGAGGCTGAAGCAGAGTCGGCTTCCCTCTAATTTGGCTTCTAGTCCCTGTAGATACAGCATAAATAACAATGGTTACAAGGGACATCCCTGTTGAAGTCCATTTAGTATTTCTATACGTTCAGATAGCTGTTATTCTCATTTGATAACAAGCTTGTTACTTTTATATATATCACTTATAAGATTAGTTATTCCATCTTCCACATCTAGTATGTCTAGTATTCCCCGCGAGTCTTCTTGAATCACATTAGCGTAAGCTCCCTTGATATCTAGAATTACCAGCCACAGTGGCCTGTGTTCTGTTTCTGTAATTTCAGTACACTGCATCAATGAAAACAGATTGTCCTCTAACCTCCTTCTTTTACGGAACCCATTTGTAGTTCTCCAAGCACCCTCCCCCACATTTTCCACTCATGTCTATAGTCTCTCCTTTACTATCTGCATCATCAGCCGGTAAACTACTCATGAAACTTTTATAGGACAGTACTTGTTCATATCGGCTTTGTCTCCCTTTCCTTTGCATATCATGCTCATCCTGCTTAGTTTCCACCCATTGGGGGCTTCACAATTCACTATTGCTTCGCTCGCTGCCTCTCTTAATGTTTGCTTAGAGTTTGGTCCGAGCTTCTTTATTAGCATATTTGGGATGCCATCAGGGCATGGTAATGTGTCATATGGAACCCTTTTATCCGCCCTTTCTCACTCTCGTTGTCCTAGTAGAGCCACTGCGCTACTTGGTCCATCATCATCCGGTAGGGTGTATGCAGTGCTTCCTTGGTGTTTAAATTTTTCTGTCATTATAGTTTTCATATATTCCATTGCGTTACCCTCTTTAGTCTGACCCCTTGAACGGTAGTTATAAACCCTCTCTTTCAGGCTTGTCTTATTACTCAGAAATTTAAGATGGTTCCAAAACTTTGCTGCTGCATTTCTATCCTTTTTGCTTACTTATATTCTTCTATCTTTTCTGTTTACTTTTTGTTGCCTTGAATGTCAGCGTGCCACCTTAGAGGGTGATTTATGAAATATTTCACCTCTTCTTCTCTAGCGGTTACCTCGGAAAGTAGTGAACACGGCGTGCCTACAAACTTGTCCCTAGCAAGATATGATGCGGCCCTAGTATTACCTTATTGAACAGAAGTATGTGAAATATGGCAAGAGTGAAAGTTGTAATTTCAAATATCGCATACCAGTTGGGAAATCGCAGTCATCTTCGTACTTGTTGCAACCTGCGAAAAATAAAGAATTCCGGCGTTATATACCAAGAACTAACCTGCCATGTAATATATTGTCGGCCCTTTCTAAAACGCATCAGCGGTAGCTAACGATTAGCACCACCCTCTTTATTTCGCGTTGTAATGTTGCGCCTAACAGAGGTAGAGTGTGTCGCACAATTCTCTTAAAAAGTTCAAACTTGAACGCCTGTGACTTCGTGTTCGTGAGAACATCAGTCAGCTTACTGCTTTGAAATGTTATAAAACACATACATTAGTGAAAAAAAATTCCGAGTTTTTATAATACTAACAACAATATATAAATCACCTGCACTGTACTCTTCATTTAAGGAAAGCCATTTCATACCATTTGGTAGAGAGCTCGACTTCAAAAATGCAATAAACCGTTCAAAATTGGTATCATGATTGACTAAGTTTTCTCTTTACCTCGTTACTATCTCGCTTACGAAATTTGTCTTGATTTTAAAGTATTTTTTTATATAATGTGTCAGCCCAATAAAAAACACATTACTTTTAAGCGCGAACAAAAATGCAAAAAGGGAGATTAAGGTGTCACCAAGAAATGTAATTTCCTAGAGCGCTATTATTTGTCCCAAAGCAATGATAAACTAATTGAATCGTTGGTGGGTTTTAACGTCTCAAAACCACCATATGATTACGAGAGACGCCGTAGTGGAGAACTCCGGAAAATTTTGACCACCTGGGGTTTTTTAACGTGCACCCAAATCTGAGCACATGGGCCTACGACATTTCCGCCTCCATCGAAAATGCAGCCGCCGCAGCCAGAATATGAACCCGCTACCTGCAGGTCAGCAGCCAAAAACCGTAGCCACTAGACCACCGCGGCGGGGTAAAGCAATGGTAAACTGCAAACCCGTTGACTGACTTCAAATTAGTTTGAAGTCAGTCCCACGGCGATGGTGCTTGACGAGGAGCTGGCAAATAATTTATTTCTAAGGGGCTGCAATAACTTTGTGTAAGTTCGCAAGCAGTGCGTTTGTGCGCATGCACATATATATTCTTTTTCTTTTAATTCTACTAGTTCCCCGCCAAAGCAGTTTGTCGTATTTACGTCGCTGTAGTACACAGGCAAGCAAATTAAAAAAAAACATTTTGAGGAGAGGGAAGGTTGAACCCCCACCACTGTTCACTTTGGCTACAATCATGTGCTTGCCACATGACCTGCAGGTGGCGAGATTGTATCTCGGTCGTGGTGGTCCCATTTCACAGAGGCGAAGTGCAAGGAGCCCGTGTGCTGAGATCATTGTGCATGTGAAAAAAGCTCATGTGGTCGACATTCCCGGAACCCCGAACTAAGGTGTTTGTAATCACAATACCTAGTTTTCGGACAAAATACGTGAATAATTACTTAAAACTATGTTTTTGCGAAGTCTGGTCAAGCTCAGGAAAAAACTGTAGTAGGACACTTAGAAATGCTGAATTACTGGAACAACTATTTATTGATTTATTTATTTTCAAATACCACAATCCCGTTATGAGAACTTCAAAAGATAGGAATACACATTATGACTAGCCGGGCAAAAGAAAACAATGTAAGATTACATATATGTTCTTGCACAAATAAAACGCAGATATAAAATGCAATGTGCTTCAAGAAGAACTGAAATAACGCATCAAGTTTACTTGCAACTGCTAATACGACGAGTAACCCATCGCTACAAAGTTAGTTGAAATTTAGCTTTCATTTAGCAGGGAATTTACCGCCACAACTCAGACATTGATTATACTATATTTTCTAAAGATATCTCTTTTAAATGCGCCACTCGTTGTGCACTGCTCTTCGCCCCTTTGCTGGCCTTCCTCACTCAGACACGGGTGCATCCAAACAGAGGAGCGGTGCATGTCTCTTTGAGCGCTTCGGTTCCCACTAAAGGATGCGGCATCTAGCGTCGGCTGCTTTCTCGTGCAAGTGTTTTGTACATACGTTGTAAAGTGAACAGTTTTGTTTCCCTGTGAATGCCCTTTCTCTTGCTTCTGCCTGGATATTCCCTGCCCGCCATTGGACCTAGCGACACGCTACCCAAGATACCATGGGGCCTTTCGTAACTTCTTGTGTTTTGTGAGGGCTCTCTTTTTTTGGAAACTGAATTGTAAGGCAATGTTTTTTGTATCACATTTCTTTGCGATTAACGAGATGGATGACATAATATTTCGGATTCTCCCGCAAAAGAGCAGTTCAGAAGAATCGGTAATATACTCAACGGTTCTAAAATATTTGTTGTGTTCATGTGGTAGGAAGTCACCAAAAACTGCGCCAGGGTTGCTAATCCTGCTTTGGTCAAGGAGTGCATTGCCGACTTGAATCACCAGTGAGTTCACACCCTGGACTTTTTTAAAATGGAAGTGTTTCATGCCGGGGTCCACGAAGGCTTCGCTCACAAATTTCTTTCATGGATATGTTTTGTTGATATTGACACAAGTACAAGTTCTGAAAGTATTATTTTCATAGATGCTGGCAGGCTTGTATGCGCCGCTGCTCAGAAGAGGACAAAGATGCGCATGCAGAGAAAAACGATAAAGTCGTATTGCCGTTGTTCGAATCAGTTTGACGTCCTTGTGTGCCATTATCTACAGGTTACACTTACATTGTAGCGTGACAAATGGTGGAGGTGCTGGGTAATAGTCTATGGACTGTTACCACAAGGAAGCTCTCAGCTCCAACATCGACGCCTTGGTAGAAACAGCCAACCTTCGACGCAGTCGGCGGCAACTAGGCTTACCACCCCAATTCAGCCCTCTTCCGGAAAGCTCAAGAACCATGGCATATGCGACAACTGCAAGCCAGACTGAAAAGAGCGCGACTCCGCCAGCTCCATTGATTGATAAGTTGAGTTTAACGTCCCAAAACCACCATATGATTATGAGAGACGCCATAGCGGAGGGCTCAAGAAATTTCGACCACCTGGGGTTCTTTAACCTGCACCCAAATCTGAGTTCACGGGCCTACAAAAATTCCGCCTCCATCGGAAATGCAGCCGCCGCAGCCGGGATTTGAACCCGCGAACTGCGGGTCAGCAGCCGAGTACCTTCGCCATTAGACCACCGCGGCGGGGCTCCGCCAGCTCCATGGCTACCAGCCTCTCGAATGCCAAAGCCCTTCCATGGGGAGCCCTACGAAGACGTTGAAGACTGGCTGGACCAATGCGATCTAGTCGCCGTCGCCAACGAGTGGGACGAGCACCAGAAACTGCGGTATGTCTATATCTACCTGGAGGATTCGGCACGTATTTGGATCGAGAACGACGAGGCTGCCCTGACAACCTGGGCGGTGTTTTGCACCCAGGTGCGGAACACGTATGGTAGCGCCGACCGGAAAGAACAAGCCGAACTTCTCCTCAATTCTCGCAATCAAAGGCCCAATGAAAGCGTGGCCATGTTCTTTGAGGAGATGTCTCGTCTGTTCCGTCGAGCGGATTCTGCAATGACGGAAGACAAAAAGGTACGCATTCTGATGAGGGGTGTCAAGGATCAGCTGTTTGCAGGGCTTGTAGGAAACCCACCAGCTACCGTGACAGGATTCCTCCGTGAAGCGATGACAATGGAGCAAATGCTAAGACAGCGGTCTTCGCAGTATAAGCGGTCCGACAACCTTGCATGTCTGTCAGCACCCTTGGTAACACCCGATGTCACGAGCGTGAAAGACCTTGCTGAGATAGTACGTAGCATTGTACGCGACGAGCTGCAAAAGCTTCACGCAGTGCCTTCACAGCCTCAAGTGGCTGCTCTGACAGACGTCGTCCGTGAAGAGATGCGGCAGCTGGTACGACCATTAGTTCCACCTTCAACCGAAGTTCCTCTGCTAACGTACGCGGAAGCTGTACGCACTCCGGCACCGGCAGCCAGCTATTTCCTCCGACCGACAAGCCTGCAGATGCTGCGACACTTTTCGGGCCTACCATACTATGAAACCAACGACCGACTTGTCTGCAGATGTGGCAGTACTTTTCGGGCCCGCGACACTTATAAGAATCCGCGACCTAATTTGCGGAAATCTAGCGTGTGGTGCGCTTCCGGCAATCGGCCACTATGCTACCACTGTGGTGAGTCAGGTCACTTGTACCAGGAGTGCTCGTACAGACAGAAGGGCCTACCTGGATTTAGGTAAGACGCTCATCGGCCCAGGGACGCGGAACGACCCCGCGCCATCACACAATACTTAGCAAGTGTACCGTCTCCGAAAGTTCAGCGGCACCAATCACGCTCTCCGTCTCCTCGACGCTCTACGTCCGCGAATTCAAACTCTACTTTCGCCGATATTGTTGCGGGACGATCGGCTAGGTCCCAAGTCCAAGCCGGGGAAACTAGAATCAGCGGCCTCCGGGGGTGGGACTGCTGTGAAGCTATCGTCAAAACAGCCTCCTCCGACCCATCCGCCACCCTTCGACGATTTCTTTCAGCCGACACCTCACATCGCGGACGAACCCGTTTCTGCTGATATTGCCGTCCTTGTCGACAATCGTCCAGTGACTGCTCTGGTCGACACCGGCATCGACTACTCAGTTATCAGCGCTGAAATTGTGGCTGAACTCAAGAAAGTCACGGCTTTTTGGGGGCATGGACCAAACCTTCCGACAGCAAGCGGTCACCTCTTAACACCAATCGGGAGATGCACCGCAAGGCTGCAGATCTGTGAGTCGACGTTCGTTGCTTCTTTCATTGTGCTTCCGGAATGCTCTCGGAAAGTTATCCCTACATGGATTTCCTTCGCGAGCACGGCGCTGTTATAAATCTTCGATACTGCCTCATAACGTTTGCTGACGACTATGCCCGAAGCCTAGAGATACTGATCCGCAGGAGACTGCGCTTAACATTGTCGACGACACCATCACACTTCCGCCACGCACCCGAATGTTCGTTACTGTACAGGGTGACATAGGCCATGACAGTAGTGGTATCGCTGAAGCCAACCTTTCGGTGCTCTTGTCTCAGCAAATCTGCGTTGCCCGCGGTATAATTCTATTTAAACGTGGGAC